GAAGCCGAATCGATGGTAACGACGGTGAACCTGGATCGTTGTTATGTCGGAAGCAACGTCGAGGGACGTGAGAGAGGGAGCCTCGCGTCAGTTCCACTCGCTCCACGGATCCCCGTGGCTGGTGTTTGGGTCAGGGTACCTCTGCTCCAGCTCCACCTGCACGGCGGGGATCTGCTTCGGTTCCCGCGAACGACTCGATGAATGAGCCTCTGCTCTCAGGGACGCGTGTTCCGGGATCCGGCTGACCAGGCCGCGACTAGGAGAATCATTGATCTTTCGCTCCGGGGCCACGCGCGAGTAACGTCATATTCTCAGCAGCGTGCGACGCAATTATACGAACACCGTGACGTGTGTCGGCTGGAACCGAGTTTTATGAATCGTTTGCAATGACGAGAGGAGGCTGCACCGATTTCCACCTGCGATTTCGGGTTCACGGTGTTGTTTGTCGCATGGGATTGAGAATCGTTGCGTGTGAGGTACCCTGTGCAGGGAAGAGGATGTCAGTTGATCGAGTAAAACGTGGTATTCCGTGAGTATAGATCGTTTGTTTCGGGATTGACAGTGGGTAGACTGTGACTTCCAGTTTGTCAGGAACCGAGGACCAGTGTAGTGTTCTGTGAATGGACGAGGTGAGGGAATTGAACTGAGATCGGATCTCAGAGAGCAAGGACTGGTTAGACCATGTGACGTAACGTGAATTTTATTCGTCGAGGACGAAATCAAGTGTCGTGTTATTCCAGGATGAATGCAGGATGAGCACGGATCTTCGTTGATCTAGGATTAATAGTTGACAGTGACCTGTCAACAAGGAAATCAAGCGGTATAAGTATAACCAGGATGAGAATAGATCTTTGCTGACTTGGGATCATAATTCTTCAAAATAATTCTTCGATCATCGAAACGGAGAAGCTAATTAGATCGTGCAGTGTTGACAGTTGACAATGTTCAGGAGATCAGATCACGAATTGTAATAATAATCGCGGATCTGAGGTATTTCACCTATCAGGAAGTGTCAGTGCGTGTCTAACTACTTCTCGGAACACGTCGATTGATGAGTCTCTCGTTACGATGGTGACTGTCTCATGCTCATGGATCATGCGAGTGAACCAATCACGCATATCAGATTCAGATAAATGAAACTATAACTTGAGAAGTGTATCCGAGTCCAGGACCAAGGTGCAGAAAAACACCTAAATTTAGTAAGGTGTCAAATGACTCCTCGTGGTGCATGCGGTATGCAGAGTACTTTTCTCGGTGAAAAATAAGTTAAATGAAAAACGGAAAGCGAGAAATTAAACAGACAGATAATATAAGGAATTACAGAAAGTCAGATGAGCGAAAGAAGCAACGATAAATGTACCATTGTAAAGTAAATTCTGAAAAGTGTCATTTGACCGTGCTTAGTCTATTTAGTGTCAATATGAAGTTGCATTACTTCTAAAGTCTGTGTTATTTATTTCCAATTATCGCGGCGTTTTGTATACGCATTTTTTAAATCCAAAGAAACGACGACAATAATCATTGCGTGATTCCGAACTTCTATTTTCGCGCTGACGATGTTGACAAACGGAACCGCGTGAAGAGGATCGATGCTCGCCGGCGCGTCTGACCAATGATACACCGTTTCACTTGGAACCAAAATTAAAAGTACATTACCTCGAGACAACCTGTTTATACACCATCTAACACACATTGGCAGTTTAATTCCAAGGAAGTTAATTGTCTTCATTAAACAAACTGTCAAAGTCCAACCCAAGTGTACCCAAGTTTTCTGATGTCAACTGTACCACACGTCAGGTGACAACTGTCAAACAACATTGACAGCTAGCTTCTCTAAAGAGGACCTAGTCACAAATACGAATCTAGACGCTGAAACAGCCACAGCAAGGATACCTAGATCATTGGAAGGCGATCCAAAGTTCAGGATCAATCCGAGCAACTAGAGGTAGCCTATCATCACGCAACAAGTACATATGCACACGTCACGAGGCCCGAGGAATCGTTGGACATCGATAAGCCACCGGAAGCATCATGGAGAACGATACCTACGACCTGAGAACGATGAGCTCCCCGCTGAAGAACACGTTCCTGGCGTCTGACTATCGGATGGAGACCTGGAACCAGTTGAGCATGAACCTAAGAACGTGCCAAGGAATACCACTGAGTTTCCCGGTGTACCCCTACCACCCGTACCACCCGTTCTACGATCTCTGCACACCCTATGAAAGTTACTTCAGCCTGCATCGTTACCTGAGATCCCAGCTGACGATGGCACCGTACTCGATGCTGGACCAGCTTTACTGCTACTGCGACTCAAAGACCGGTTGCTCGTCGATATTCGGTAAACAGACGAGACCTAGCTAGTCATCACGGATCGCTAGATGATCATGATCATCCTCGCATTCGTCGGTTCATTGATCCTCGTGATCGTCGGACGGGCGAACTCGCGCGGTCACGTGACCGGAGTGAAAACGCGGGAAAACGGGATTGAACGACCTGGAGCGGCGGGAGGGGCGGCTGCTAGGCTAGTGGAGGGGGGGAAATGGTAAAATGGAGGAAGACGACGAAGGACGGTAAAGGAATAATCCGCGGGAACCGATATTCGCGCTGATCGGACTATTAATAGCCTGGAAACTGGTACCTAGGTACCTACAATCACAGCCCGGCCTTGTCAACTGCATTCCTTCCTTGACCTACACGAACGTAGCAGACCCACATCCTTTTCAAACCACCCAAGCACCGCGAACGAGTATTACACTTTCGTGTTGGCCGCGTAAATTGCTCTCGCTGCGAAATATCCTTGCAGTTCCAATCTCCGACACCCCGGCCATCCTAAAGGCTTGCTACAAAGGACAAGCGATTCCCAGTCTGAACAATCTCCAAGTGCTGCTATGTGCTGCCTACGTTGACTCTCTCCAGAGCATGGAGATACTTCGATCCTTACGTTCTTTTTTCTCATTTTCTGGTTTTTTTTGGACGTCCAATTCTTTATTTCCTCTTTTCTCTCTCAGGCTTTCGTAGTTTTAGATGTAGATAACAGTCGAGGAATTATTAGGTTATTTTTTATCAGACAAAATTGTCATCTTCGCTAGGTATATGCACTGCATTAAGATAAAGTGGATAATTAGAAAGAAAAGAATTGCAATTTTGGGTTGACTAATGATATAATAATACTGTTATATGCTATGAATTGCAATTTTGGGTTGACAACGATTAGGTTGTCATACTTGGAGAAGAGTGACTGAAATAGTCCAAAGGTTAATTAGAAAGAAAGAATGGCTAAGTAGGAAGAAAATAATTGCAATTTTGGGTTGACTGATATAACAATACTGTTATATGCTAAGAGTATTGATTATTTATGACTAATTAAAGAAACAAAGTATCTTCGCTTCACTTAACTGTGCGCACTAACAAATATAATCTTCTCGTAATTGACAGACTGATTACGAGTGTCTGAAAGCCATACTTGGAGAAGAGTGCCTGAAGTCGTCCGAATGTTACCTAATTTTTCTTCCCGGTTAATAGATACTTGGTGTCAAAGGTTGAATACAACCAACACTGAATTTAAATTTTCTTCTTCCTGTCAAAAATCGAATTTAATAGGACTCCCTAGACGAGAGAGTTCTGTTAGGACCTCCAATTCTCTATTTTCTCTTTTCTTTCTCGGGCTTTTACAGTTTTGTGCGTAGACAATAGTCTAGAAATTATTCCTTTGTTTCCAATCTGTCAAAATTGTCATCTTCGCTATCTACAAGCTCTGCACCAAGATAAGCTGGATAATTAGAAAGAAAAGAATTGCAATTTTGGATTGACTAATATAACAATCGTCAAATGATATCGTTATATGCTACGAGTTGCAATTTTGGGTTGACAGCGATTAGGTTGTCATACTTAGAAAAGAGTAACTGAGATCGTCCAAAGGTTACCTAATTTTTCTCTCACTTAATAGATAGTTGGTGACAAAAGTTGGACACAACCAACACTGGATTTAAACTTCCTGTTTCCTGTCAAAGATCGAATCTAATAGGACTCTCTAGGCGAGAGGGGCTGTCGAATTTCGCGATAGGGATTCTACATGCAGTCAGCTCGATTGGATGCCGAAACAGATAGGAGCAAGAGAAGCACGACACGGTTCTTTCGAAACTCGTCTGTCAACGTTATAAAACACGGGATTGGCAGGCCACCGTGATAAGTGCTATTAATCATCGTGATAGACCACCAGGCATGCTTATGCACGATGATTAATAACATTTTCATACCGTCTCGGAACGGCAAAGACCAAACCCATTAACGCGAGCATCGGGGTTCGAGACGGTTACGAGATCGTTGAACCGAATAGTTTAGCCGTACTGAACGTAGAAGAATTTCATCTCGCGTAACTTTCATAATCCCGTGCGAATCGTGCACGAGAGCTGATGGAAATCGCCGGCCTGCAATAATTGTTATTAATGCCCGGTGAAACGCGGTTGCCCAACCGATGCAAGAATGGTAACGAACAATACGTTACGCGGGGTGTCAAAACGGAATGCAGCTAACGTGTTCATCTCTATTAAACCGTCCTCGTATCAACAAGCTGAATCTCCAGTTCATCGATGCACACCTAGCACCTTCGTCCCAAAATTGCTGTGCATGTAGTCCAGGTGTCGCCATTTTTCATTCTCTCGAATCATCACGTAAAGCTCGATTAGCATAGGGATCCAAGACTCCAAGACTGTCTCTCTTTCTCTCTCTCTCTCTCTCGTAAACACGGTTGACAACGACCAGCTGGTATCTCTTGGCAGAGATGGTCGAATTGACCGAAAGTAGGGAATCGTGCTTCACCACCACCACCACCACCATCGTCATGCTCATCAAAATGGCAGTCCATAATCATGTGTACACGACACGCGTCAGGACTCTATCGCGCTTCATCCACGCCCGTTAATCGCGGCCTACCCGAGGTAAACGCGTGCAGAATGTTCCATCGAGTATAAACGTGAGACCAACGCCTTATTTCTCAGACTCCCCGGTATCCCTTGGATCAGCAGGCTCGCCGCTCGGGATCCAGCCGACGGACGCTCCTTCACCCATAAACTTTCCTGCTCCAGGGGAGAGCATGGCCGACACCTCGACCCTGTCGCCGGAGGCTAACATGCCGAGCTCGCCGGGCTGCCCCGTGGTCAAAGTCAAAAGCGAGTATCTGCTAGGCATCCCGAGTCCAGGGACACCGCGAGATCCTCTTCGCGGGGCGGCAAGTGGACTGGAAGCTCGTGATACAGCCTGCTCGGACCGTGCGTCGCCAGATTCAGTCTTCCCTGATGCCACTTCGATGGTGGGCTACAGAGTCGTCGAGGAACAGCAGCAGCAGCAGCAGCAGCAGCAGCAGCATCAACAGCAGCAACAGCAGCAACAGCAGCAGCAGCAGCAGCAGCAACAACAGCAGCAACAGCACCAACAACAGCGTGCTGGTACACCTGTGCCGACCAGGCTGTCGCCATATTCGCCGATGCAAGCGGTCTCCACGACTCCCATGCCCCAAGAAGCGACTTCGAGGAGCGACAGCCCGGACAAGGGTGACTTATCGTCGGCACAGACCAAGGAGGAGTCGGATAACTCGGTTTTCGATGGCGGAGGTGGCGGTGGTAGCGGCGGTGGCGGTCGTTCGGAGACCTCCAGTCAACCTAGTCACCGGAGTAGCCCGTCCTCTCAGTACAGCCCTAGCCAGAGCGTGAGCCCCAGCGCCAGCACGACGCACGTTACTCAACAACAGCAACCGCAAACTCCGCCGACACCGCCTAGACCCCGGGTACCTTCGGTGCCGCCTCACCTTCTGGCCCACCATCAATTTTGGTCGCAGAACAACGGTATACAGGGATTCGCCACGCAAAGGCTACTGAACGGGGTCATCAGCAGTGCTGTTAACTATGGACAGAACGTTGCAGTCGCGTCCACCAGTAGTACAAGTTTGAGTAGTAGCACGGGGAGCAGTGGGAATGGGGCAACTTCCACGAGCATTGGGGCAACTAGTACGGCTTCCTCGTGTAAGTCAGTTATAACGATGAGTGTCGTTGCGTACAGTGTCCCACGGTAAGTGCCGTTTCATTTAAGCAGCAAACGATTAGACCCTACGTAGACCATTTCGGTTAACAATTCTTTACCTTTCCAATGCTACGTTTGTCTTTTAAAGTTCATTTCTTTAACACGTTCACGCAGATGCTGGTTTTTGCGCATTCGTGCATTGCTTCATCTAGCGGTGTGCATGTTTAAATGCACTAGGCTGTTATTTTAACCCTTTGCACTCGAAAATTCTTTCGCTATGAAGAAATAGCAATTCCAAGCTTCTCTTATGTTTCTGTGACCCTTTTTACGCTAAATATGAACAAAAATTATGCGTTTATGGTTATTTTTAATATACTATGATGGCATTAAGCGATTGGTGACTGAGAGTCGCCTCTTGAGTGCAAAGGGTTAATAAATTCACCGTTTATGTTGAAAATGGTGTAAATCAATTGAACAAAAGGCACATCAGTGTGAGCCACCAGTGGTACTATGCGTGGCTGAGAAGAAGTCATCCTAGAAACTTGTAGGACCGAATCCCCAACAACCCAACCATTCTAACGTCATGACAGAAGTAAAGCGCTTCCCTTATTGGCAGAACTGATCCCTTCCTATTAGCCCGGTCATAGGACCCCATGTGACAGAGAAAGCGAACGAAGCAACGAGACAAAGCGAGACAGACGCAACAAATAGATGCAAGAGCGTAGACCCATCCCAAAAACATATTAACTTCGGATTCTTCCGATGAACACGTGATTATGTGCAATTACTAATTACTAATTAGCATCTTGATTAACTTCTCGTTGCATTATGCAGCAAACGTGCTGTACTATACACATACTTTTTATATTTATGCTGCATCGTGTGACTTTTTTAAACGGTTATCTAGCATGATGCAATTACATAATTAATTTATCATAAAAGATACATCTTAAATTTAAAATCAATTTTCATAAACGATATTAATTATTATTACTTTTGTACTCCTTTGCCTTGTAAATCTTCTAAGCTATTATCATCTGATACTTTATCCGACTCGCTGCTTTGTATTTCCAATCCTGGGTCTTCAATTGCGTCTTATATTATTCGAGTACAAGAATTTTACGGATATCCTACGCCTATGTTAACGTATCACGTTACTAAACTTGGAGGTAGTAGTTTTGGGAGTGTCATAGAAGAGTAGGTACCTCTCCTGCCCCACAACCGAACGAGATGACTTCTTCTCGGCCACGCACAGTACATTCCGCACGATGGAGGACTGAAGCGTGAGCCACCGATGGTACACACCAGCGTGAACATGTTAAGATCGTTTCAGAAAGGGTCATCCAATATTTTCTTAGTAACGTGACCTTGAAGTAACCTTGCAAACTTGAAGATAAATAATTAATTTTATAGAAAATTGTGATAAGTTAATGATAATAATGAAAATTGTAATAATTTTCGTTTTATCACTTATCAGCTGAGGTATTATTATTTGACAGTTGAGCCAAACGGCATATACCGTGGAACACCCTGTATATGAAATGCTCGATGAAATGAATCGGTTATAAGATTCACGAGGGAATTTGATTTCTTCTGAACCACGAAATTGCGTATTCCAGGTGAAACGATGAAACCACCGGCGCAAAGGCCAGCGCCGGCGCCCCCAAGACCACCTCCGACCGTGATCATGGGTGAGATAGGTGGCGTGAGGACGATGATTTGGTCAGCGCCACCTTTGGACCCCGTACCACCGCCAGCGGCCTCGTGGACGGCCACGGCCGCGGCGGCATCCTGTTCCTCGTCGGAAGAGTCGGCTGCTCAGCTACTCCTGAACCTAGGCCAGGAGTCCAGGGGCAAACCACCCTCCGTTCCCTATTCCGGCCCGCCGCTCAACATGGAGAGGTTATGGGCCGGCGATATGACGCAACTGCCCGCGGCGCAGCAGATGCAGGCTCTCAACTTGACAGCTTCCGGGTCCGGCCAGACGTGGGAGAGGAATGGCGGAGTCGTCAAGTCGGAGACCGCGTCGCAGTCGATGTCAGTGGCGCCACCTGCACCGCCGATGCCACCTCAGGAACACGAGGAGGACGAGACGCCTATGATTTGTATGATTTGCGAGGACAAGGCTACCGGTCTACACTACGGCATCATCACGTGTGAAGGGTGAGTCTTATCTTTCCTTCATTCTCTTTTCGGTCATAACCTATATGCAGGGATCGGTTTGGGTGGATTGGCTAAAATAGTGTTGTTTTACTTCTTAATAAAATACAATAAGCTTATTCGTAGATTGACGGCTATGAAACCTTAAAGACTGGACATCATAAACTGTTCATGACTGACGACTGTGGAGATTGGAGCTGCCCTTGCACTCTTATTTAAAGCATTCATCCTGACCGTTTCCATATCCAGGCTTTCCTTTGCAATCATGCCCCTTTCCCACCAGGCCAGGTACTTCAGCCACTCTGGACGCATCCCTAAACTTTCACTCAACCTTACTATAAACATTCTTTGCAGTTAATTCACTTGCACACGGTCACTTTCATCCTAAGCCCAAACACACTTGGCATTCTTTCAGGGCCGTACTTATTCCAATCCCACATATATGTAAGCTACCTCCCGAGATCGAGTAGGTATCTTTGTACGCCTCTGGAAACCCTAACGCGTGCCAAGAGTTGCGAAATTATCGTCCCTTGGCTATCTCGAAGTTAGACCCCGATGATAATCCCGTGCAAGCTGATTTCCGGAAACGGGTTGGCAGATCCTTTCCAAAGATCGCTAGATGCGCTCGTGCGCAACGCGACCTAGGTGTGATAATCAAATTAGTCGTCTGCAAAACTGCTGGTCCCGCTGCATATCTGGAACGGCTAGGTCCGGAATGCCTTTAGGCGACCCGTTAGGAGTCAGAGATTCGGACGATCCGCTTAATTAGAGATAATTGCACGGAACTATGTACGGAAAGTTAGGATTACACTAGTCACGGTCCTAAGGGTGCACCTCACGGCGAACTCTGACCTTTTGGATCCTCCTAACTTGCACCTGCGTCCTAACAGAGAAATATATCGTTCCCACTGTCTTCGAGGTTACCGCGTCACGCTTCAACTATGAATGTAGATAGATATCCGTCTATACACACCATGTATCATGCAGTTTTTCATCGTTTCCCCCTTTCGCGATGCGACACTGGCCTCTCTCGACTGTTTTCACTTCGAGCTGGCCTTTGCGTACCTAGTCGCCATGTTTGATCTGCTATAGTTCATTTATCGAGCTGGAATTCTTCATTATACTAAAATATACCATTCTTGCCTTTGATCGAATGTCAAAAGTGACTGGTATCCCATTTCAGGGGTCACGCTGGAGATAGCAATGGAAGAATTTTCTACCTGGTGTCATCGTAATTGGATTATGTCCTTTTGACATATTCAGGGAAAAACTGAAAAGTTAACCACTGTTTCATAAACATGTACACTGGACTATGCATTGATACTTGAACTCTATAGCTTGAATGATCGATCATGTCAACTATACCCGGCCTAAAGTTGATACATTAGGTCAGTCCCTAGTTCCTATGAGATTCTCGCTACTTCGAATTACTGTCTCGGAAAAATACACACTGCACTCTTCGTGCGTCCTAAACTTGATACATTAGGTCAGTCCCTAGTTCCTGTGAGATTCTCACCACTTCAAATTAATGCTTCGCAAAAATACACACTGTATTCTTCGTGGATACTATAGTTGATACATTAGGCCACTCCCTAGTTCCTATGAAATTTTCGCTATTTCAAATTACTGCTTCGCAAAAATACACACTGTACACTTCGTGATTAGGTCAAACCCTAGTTTCTCTGATATTGAGATTCTCACCACTTCAAATTAATGCTTCGCAAAAATACACACTGTATTCTTCGTGGATACTATAGTTGATACATTAGGCCACTCCCTAGTTGCTATGAGATTCTCAGTACTCCGAATTACTGTTTCGGAAAAATAGTACACTTTTCGTGGATACTATAGTTGATACATTAGGTCAGTCCCTAGTTCCTATGAAATTTTCGCTATTTCAAATTACTGCTTCGCAAAAATGCACACTATACTCTTCGTAGATACTACAGTTGATACATTAGGTCAGTCCCTAGTTCCTATGAAATTTTCGCTATTTCAAATTACTGCTTCGCAAAAATGCACACTATACTCTTCGTAGATACTACAGTTGATACATTAGGTCAGACTCTAGTTTCTATGATATTCACGCTACTCTGAATTACTGCTTTGGAAAGATACACACTGTACTCTTCGTGGATACTACAATTGATACATTAGGTTAGATCCTAGTTTCTCTGAAATTCTCGTTGCGACAAGCCTCGCAATAATCCGACTTAATCCCATCCTTAATTGATCTAGATTCAGCTGCATCTGTTTCACATATCCTTCGCGTGCCAAAGAGTTTCTACAGCGAAGCTATGTCTGTTCCTTGATCCGCAGGACTCCGATTCTATCAGAATGGTGATTTATAGTTGCACGTTTCAAGTTCAGCCCGGGTATTAAAAAATATCGATTCACCTCTGAGTGAACTGGGACGTGGTTGTTTGTTGTTTTAAAGACGACCCGCGGTATCTCAGCGATTCGAAGGTGAAACGAAGAGTGTACCTCAAGGTACTTCCCATTCTCGTATATCCTGCAACGCGGCTGATTAGTCCCTAAGGTTACTGCGGGGTATCGTTACTCGCTTTCACGCTAGTTTATTCAATGTCTATCGTCTCATCCGACGAATCCGGCAAATTAGTTGGGAAAACTCGACAAGACTGTGCGTCTCTATGTAGCCCTAGGTCCGCAGGTATGAATCTTTAATCGGTTTCTGGTAAGCTCCAAGACACTCCCCCGAGTGGCGAGAAGCAAACTTTGGAACTTAGTTCGTTGAACAAAAAATCCTTGGTGACTGGTCGTAAAGTACCACCCTGACTACCTAACGCTAACACAGTTATCCCGAAAGGCACAAGCTTCCGTTTTAACTGATGGCTTTGGTGCGAAGATCTTCGATGCTTTCCTTTGAAATTAGCCAACTCTGCAACTCGGATTCTTAATGATAGATCATAAAGCTTTTAGTCTCTCTGCCTGACGGTAATCGCGAAACCCTCGGATCTCGAAAAAGAGACACAGGACAAAGTCAACAGAGCCAAGAAATTTCTGTTGGCAAGTGGAAAGTAAACTTGGAAACTAAGTCATTGGTCGGGAAATGTCCTCTACCTGCTCGACAGTGATCCCAAAATCCGATTGTTAGCAGAAGCATCGCAATTATTTGAAAGGGTTTAAGTGAAAAGAATTTTGACATTGTCTAGATATCAACATACTCTCCTGAACAGAGATCAGTAAACTTTCGTACTTGGTTCGTCGGCCAAGAAATCCTTGATGACTTGTCAGGAGATTTCTTCCATCCTGTCTAATTGACTGACAGCAAGCACGAAATCCTTTCATCTCGAAATAGGACACAGGAGAATCTTGAATTTCGAAGAAATAGGTGCAGAGAGAATAGAGCTTTCCTTTTTCTTAATAATATTTGTCATGTCAATTAAAATACAGCTCACTCTGCCACTCCCAACTCTTGTAACTCTCTTCTGATACTCCTCATCTAATTCCTTGGCATCTTTTTCTATGCCAATGCACACTGTACACTGCACACTGTCAAGCGTCTAGAAATTCCACATACATTCTAGGAACTCGTTCTTCTCCGACTACACTTCTTCCATCCTGTCTAATTGACTGACAGCAAGCACGAAATCCTTTCATCTCGAAATAGGACACAGGAGAATCTTGAATTTCGAAGAAATAGGTGCAGAGAGAATAGAGCTTTCCTTTTTCTTAATAATATTTGTCATGTCAATTAAAATACAGCTCACTCTGGCACTCCCAACTCTTGTAACTCTCTTCTGATACTCCTCATCTAATTCCTTGGCATCTTTTTCTATGCCAATGCACACTGTACACTGCACACTGTCAAGCGTCTAGAAATTCCACATACATTCTAGGAACTCGTTCTTCTCCGACTACACTTCTTCCATCCTGTCTAATTGACTGACAGCAAGCACGAAATCCTTTCATCTCGAAATAGGACACAGGAGAATCTTGAATTTCGAAGAAATAGGTGCAGAGAGAATAGAGCTTTCCTTTTTCTTAATAATATTTGTCATGTCAATTAAAATACAGCTCACTCTGTCACTCCCAACTCTTGTAACTCTCTTCTAATACTCCTCACCTAATTCCTTGGCATCTCGTTGCATACTAATGCACACTGCATACTGTCAAGTGTTCATAAATTGCACGTGCATTCTAGGAACTCGTTTTTCTTGCACTACTGATAATCTAGCCTAAAGATCCTCTTGATCCACCATAGTATCATTCCTAACTGTTGTCAATCGATCAGAATTAGTTCCTCATAGATAGCAAGACTGTCAAGCCTCAAAACGTAATTCGTTATATGAAAAATCTTTGACATCCGATCCTAAAGTACCTCCTACTCTATCTGCTCAACAGTGACCACGAAATCTCCGCTATTTTGATAAAGAAAATGCAGAAATGTTGAATTAGCTCCTGATAGGCACTAAAAGGCTGCAAAGAGAAGCAAACTCTGCAACCGAGTTCGTGACACGAAAAATCCCTGATGACCGATCACGAGGTACCTTCTATTCTAACTACCTGGCTGACAGCAGGCTGAAAATCCCGTGGTTTCGAAAGAGAAGCCAATGATATTCGAAAGGAGAGGAGGTTCTAGCTGATGACTTTGGTGAGAAATTTCAGAACAGGTCAGAGTAAGACTGGAAACGAATCCAATTCCACGACGTCGGTGTTGCTGGGCCCAAGACAAACAGGTTGCATGTGTCTTGGAGAACGGTTAAACGGATTTCTATAGCCGGTGTGTTGGATCACGAGCCGCGATTTGAATAAACGTAACAGCTCGTGCCGAAGATCCTTTGCGAAATCTTCGCGTGCAATGTGAGACAGCGTGAAATTTTGTGTGCGCAGGTGTAAAGGGTTCTTCAAAAGAACCGTGCAGAATAGGCGAGTGTACACGTGCGTGGCGGAAGGCGGTTGCGAAATCACGAAAGCCCAGAGGAACAGGTGTCAGTACTGTCGCTTCAAAAAGTGCATTGAACAGGGTATGGTCCTTCAGGCTGTTCGAGAGGATCGAATGCCTGGGGGCAGAAATTCTGGTGCTGTGTATAACCTTTACAAGGTTAGTATTCACTCCGTATTTTCACTAATTTTTCACTTTCAGGGACGTTTCCATTGTTACAGATAGTACACACCGGTTGAATAATAATATAGTTAACTATGTAACTTGCTATAGTGACATCCTTGGAATTTTTCTTCACCAATTAATTCATAGTGATTGCAATTTTTGGAAATTCGGAATTAATCGTTGAGATATTAAAAAATAAAGATCGATTTTTGAAATCTTCCACTTCCAATCAAAATTTAAGTACAGCAAAATTACATATATATATTTTTTATTGTAAATAAAAATTCTCGAAATTATAAATTTTCAAGTTTGATTTTGAAGTATAAAAATAACAAGTATAGCAAAATTACCTTTTTTTTAAGAATTAAAATTCTCGAGATTATAAATTTTCAAGTTTGATTTTGAAGTATAAAAATAACAAGTATAGCAAAATTATTACCTTTTTTCTTTTGTGAATAAAAATTCTCGAGATTATAAATTTTCAAGTTTGATTTTGAGGTGTAAAAATAACAAGTATAGTAAAATTACCTTCCTCTTTTCTTTTTTTTTTTTTGGTGAATTAAAATTCTCAAGATTATAAATTTTCATTATATATTTCATGAATAATAATTGATTGGAAGGTGGAGAAACTGAGCCTTCGATTAAATGTCGTTGTTAGTGTGAACGAGCAAGGGGAACGTTTAATTTTAAAACGCCTTCGTTTGCCCAATAGGTGAAGTACAAAAAGCACAAGAAAAGTAACAAAACGAGTGGAATGGGAGGAGGCATGGGTGGCATAAGTAGTGGCGGTAACGTTGGCGGTGTTAACGGGTCGGGATCCCTTGGTGGTAGCAAAAGCACCATGGGTTCGACGATGCTTGACAAACATATGGCTGTAGCCGCAGTTGCTCACCATAGCCAACAGCAACATGCACAGCTTGCTGGTGGCTTTCTTCACCATCACAAGATTTCGTCGGGCGACCCGCTCAACTCGCAATCTACCACCAGTCACTCAGGTCACCCTGCCCATTCGAGTCACCTTGTCAACGGGACGATCCTGAAGACGGCGCTCACCAACCCCTCCGAAGTGAGTCCACGCCATTTTTCTTTCCACTATCTTTTCTTCTAATTACGTTATTAATTATCAATCGAGCCGTTCGATTGCCAAATTAATTAATTGGGCAGAAAACCAAATGAAAATTTGGAATTTTGAATGAAATTTAAATTTGAAATGAAAATTTGGTAATTTGGAAAATTAGTATCAGAAATTTAGGGATCGAAGTTTCGAAATTGAAAATTTTCAGTTTTGAAGTTCAAAAGTTGAAAAAGTTGCAGTTTCGAAATTCAGAAATTGAAAAAGTTGCAGTTTCGAAATTCAGAAGTTGAAAAAGTTGCAATTTCGAAATTCAGAAGTTGAAAAAGCTGCAAAATTTCGAAGTCCAAATATTGGAAAAACTGCAAAGTTTAAAAGTTCAGAAATTCAAAAAATATCAACGTTACAAAATTGAAAATTTTCAACGTTTCGAAGCTTCAAAGTTCAAAAAAATTCGCAGTTTCACAATTGAAAATGAAAGTTCAAAATTCAATCAAAAGACAAGTGCTTTGGTATTCAAATTTTGGAAAACTCAAAAAATGGATTTAATTATTTTGGCTCGTGGGTGGCTCAATTAATAATATAACGTGAAATACTAATTTTTAATTACGTTACTTTAATCATATTTCTTTAATTTTAATGATTTTTGAGGGATATAGAAGCATAACTTAAGAAAATAAAAATGTTTCCAAAATTCTGGGGACTTTCTAGGGAATTTATAGTGATAAGAAAATTCTATCTTTAACAGAATTATTTTAGTACTGATTTCTCTCATTATTTTATTATTTATATTATAGCTCTTTTTATCTTATTTTATATTTCATGTGAACATTGCTGTTTTATTATAAAATACCCAGTGAGACATTTGTATTAATTTCGTTCAAAAATCCAGCTCTTTTTTATATCTATTTTGTAGAAATTTTTGTCAGTCATCAAATTAACACATAATTTGCTATATAAATCACCAAAGAACCTCATTACAACGTATAAAATAAATTAATTCGAAAATTCACACAAAAGATGAAGGAGAAACTGCTTTTTGATACTTTCTTGCACGAAAATGAAGTAATTATTTTTGTCAGAATAAATAAAATTCCACATTTAATAAATATTAATATCCAATTCGTTTAAATTTATAAGTCGAATTCCGTTTTGGTTATAGCTACTAGAACAACATTCCCAGAGTTTTGCAATCATGCTAGTATACTTATCAACACTCGCGAAATCGTCGACGAATCTCTTGAATCCCAGGAACCAATCTTCCAATTTAAATTCATCCGTGATTTCCCACAGTAGTGAGATTCCTAGTATTTCTTGCGTATGTCACGGCTATTTTCAGAATCACATAAAGTAAATATTCAAGGTTGCCATATTGCATAACTATGGCCATGTAAATATTACAGTTAGAAAGCACGGGACTAAAAAGACTCACGAACATTTTCCATAACCTTCTTCACTACGATAGTAATTAAATAAAAGAATAATTAAGTAACAATTAAATCCAGGATACTAAAATTTGTCAAAAATTTGATTTAACAAATTCAAATTCCAAAGAATATATCAATAAACTAAAAAGAATTCACCGTCAGCGATTCAAATTTCCCGCCAAACGGTCTTCACTCCAAACCCCTAACAAGCAACCAGGGAAAGTGATTTAATTTCGACTAGTACTGCCATCTGTGGACGCAAAGTTGGTACGAGAAATCCAATATCTCCATTTTTCAAATATTATAATTTCACGAACGAATTATAAATTCTGTCAATGTATTTCGATGGCAAAATAAAAGCTATCATTTATTCTATGGCGATTAATCGTTTGAGTAACACGGAGTGATCATATTACACAGATTTTGTATCGAAAAGTGTCACTGCATCGAGCAACGATGCGCAGTTGACGAATCTACCGCAGCGCCATCTCAGTGGTTCTGGTGCTTAACACATTGACAGCCGGTAGGGTCAAATTGCACTTTATTCGGATCGGTATTATTCAGCCGATAGAGTAAAATTACGTTTAAAATCTTTTAGTTAAGACCAGTACTTGAAATTACCTACTGAAATTAAATTCCTAATACAGTTCAAAAATTTCAAGAAAATTAATAAATATCTATCACGGTCTATTTAATCCAATTAATCTTTCTGAAAAGTATTAAAAAAATAATGTAAGCTGCACTGAAATGATTAACATTAAACTATAACACCAACTTCACATACCTATCCAAGTATACCAGACACAGATAATAATAATTAAAATCACATAATGAACATATTTACATTACATTAGGTATATATAATTACATTCCCATGTAAATAAAAACCAATGATAATTATATAGATTAAAGTACAGCTCACTGATCTCGATAATTTCTTTATGTATTACACAAATAATAAAAATAACCATATAACCGGTGATCGTATAGTAATATATACTATCACAAAAGTACACGTAAAAAGCAATAAGCTAGTAATTACTGATAAAAGTTTCCTGCCATTATCTCAGAAAAATATCTGTATCAAAAACTCGCTCAGTGTTAACGTCCACAATGCAGAAAAAGATCACCTAACCTATACAATTGCGAAATCAATTAATTACATCCCAAGCGACGGTGGGTTTTCAATAAATGCAAAGACAGGAAGTCTGAAACCAGTCGGGTAAACTAGTTCGCTAGTCGCGGTACATAATTAGAGATTGGAAGCGAGGTGAAAAATAGCACCGTTCCGCCATCTGCCAATTCATCGCGCAACTACGGAACGAGACATGCCTACTAGTCGCGGAGAAGACACGTCGCGACCCCAGCTCGTAATGGCGGCGAGCGAGTAGACAACTTCCACCTGTTTCCCTATTCTCTCGTACACTCGTTCCCGAGCGAGCGCGGTGACGCAACTGGTTCGATTTCACGCGATGCATCTACGTGATAACTCGCGGAAGCCTACGGGATAGACCGTGCGGGAGATATTCCACGGGATTTCTCTATCGGCTCTCCATCGGGCCGATTATCTAACAAACCGACGAGCGTACGTGTGAAACGATTTTTTCCACAGACCCGACGATCTCGAACACCCTGCCAGTGCTTATAGATCAACGTCGCTCGTGCAACCGGCAACACAACGATTTCCAGTGATTTATACGAGGCGGCTCGTTAGAAATCGAGCACGGGTCGACAAAAGTTGATCCTCGCCGGGTAGAATGCGCGCGGCTGATGAGAACGTCCCGAAGGTATCTTCACTTTCACTTTCCGAAGCAGCTGCACGCGATCCGATCACATGCTCCGACGAGATCTTTCACGCCAGTGGTGGACTTCTTTCATCCGCTCCTGATAGCTCCGGCCGCCATGTAACCCGAGCGGAGTAACTCCCGGTTCGTCCGCGAGAGCGCGCTAGCGGTCCGTTTTAGCGTCCGCTGTTTGCAATTGTATCTGGGTGTTTATCTGGCCGGATGGCTTCTGAGAATTCGACCTATGGATATCTGATATGAGCGTCACGTGTATAGATGCATCAGTGAGAAATTTGCGATATGCAATGGTATAACGGGTTCTAAGAATTGGGATTTGAAAGGGACGTGTATAATTTTGAGGTGCATTTTCACGAGTCTAGTTTTGTACTAGTTCATGGTTAAGTCTACAACCGTCGGGTTAGTCGAAATGACTGGGTCTGGACTTTTTGTACTTGCTGTTAGTGAAAGTGTGCAGCTGCTTTGGCAGATTTAATGTTGTTCTGTTCAGGCAGAATGCTGGTTATGTAGACCTGTCTTATTTATTTGCAGCATGTTAGATGCTGATTATGGATTGCTTGATTTGATATCAGGGTTGTAGAAGAATTCATTTTTAAATATTGGAAATGTAGTATATAGAAGATACCCACAAGCATGACACGGCTATCTTTGATGATCTTGAGGTCTGTTTCCATCTCACGTTGATATTGCTTATTACTCTGTTTTCTTTGTCATTTGATTCAGTATTATCCAATTTATTTCAGGCTCTTGACCAGTAATTATTTTATAATTACTATATTATTATAATTATAAAATAATTAGTAAATAATAAAATTCGTGTGCTCAATCTTCGTTATTGCGTCAGGAAAGGTGATTCTATTACACTATGACTAATTAGATCAGCAGTCTTTCTCTACGTAGTACTTGGTTCTAGCTATAGATGGCAGCTTGTCAATCCCTAGTACAAAGATAGGTTGCACTTGAAGCTATTAACTTTCTATGACATCGCATGATCTGTAAGTTAGGTATTCGTTTATCTACACTGCTGAATCATACTTCGTTTGCTCATCTCTGGGCTATGATATTTTATTGACACATCATAGCACTGATAGCTAGCGTGATTAGATTTCAGATTCACCAGACCTTCTTCGTTTGACTCCTTATAAAACCACGTGATCTAAAAGTTAGATACTCATTTTATCCCGGTAACACTGCAGTGTTACCAAGTTGTCAGTGACAATTATTGGTTTCTATAACAATTCTTGTTAGACCAGAACTTTGAACATACTGTCATTAAAGTCCATCGACCATTCTAGATCGGTTGATATCGGTTGATATCTTCGGAATAAAACTTCGCAAACTAATCTCACGCTCCACGTTCCGATATACTGTATCTACTACCTTTACCAAGAACATCGTGCCACCACTGCTCTATTACCATTTTAAAACTCGCACAGAGTTGCAGTCTTGATTTCCTCCTTTTCAAAGCAGGAAATTCTTTTCCCTAAAAACTTGACACAATGTTCGATTAGTATATACCTGTAACTGAGTTTCGTTGGACTATCACATCCTCTATTAGACACGAGCAAATTTGAAAGTTCTTGCTTTAAAATCTTGGATACCTAAGCAGAACGTTCTATACGTATTGGGATTATAGGTTCTAATAGTAAAATAACTACGATATAGTTTAGATGATATAAATTCTTAGAACGAATGTTTCCATAAATATTCGATAAGAATCATCTAAACTATTTATTCATATCATATCTCTCAGATTAATTTTTGT